AGTCTGCTATAAATAGAGTGATGAGCCCACCGTGGCATCCGTGAGTTTTTCCCACTTAGGTGTGATGAAGTACCAGATGCCAGCTCCAGCTCCGGGCAGTGTGACACCTCGAATGAGAAGAATGACCAGCACAACATATGGGAATGTGGCTGTGAAGTACACCACCTGGAAGAGCAGAGGGATGGAGAGGTGGGTGAGCAGGCATCCCTGAGGATGTCACCGAGGTGAGGGGACAGGGGACCTGCCACCCAGGCACACATGCCCAACAACGAGGTCTCCCCAAGCCCTGACAGCACCGGGGACCCACACAAGACACTGGGGTCAGAGTCAAATGGAGAAGACCACAGGGTACTTTCCTTTCTTCCCTGTCAATCAAGCCTGGGAGACCTCACCCTGCCCAGCTACCAACTAATCCACAGGGCGAGAAGATGGTGAGGGAGGTTTTGTGCTCTGTTCTCCAAAATTCTTAACCCATCTCTGCAGAAGTGTAGTAGGGAACTGTTCCAGCTTTGACCTTGAAGCACTGTCCCAGTGAGGCAGCTGGTAACTGCCACGCCTACCTAGGACCTGCCCCTGAAGCGTGGCCAGGACAGGAGCCCTTAAGACCTGGATGTGCCAGCCCTCTTGGTTCCTCACGATCCTGGATGCTGGATGATAGACAGAGTCAGAGTTCTCCAGAGAACCCCGCTGGACTGCACCTCACCTCTCCCAGATCCTGTAACCAACCCCTTTACTGGCTGTAAGTTACCCCAAAATAAACCACCTTTTAACTATGTGGAGTTGCCTTGGTTAAATCCCCACATTATGGAAGGGCCCAAATTTCACCAGGAGAGATAAATCCTTTTGGCTTATGCCTTCCATCCTGGCTTACACAGACACCCTAGGTGAAATGACCTCACCAGGTGAAGAGGTTGTGATTCTAAAATCAGACACGCTTCTGTTCAAATGATATCTAATCTCTGACATTGAGGTGTGATCTTGGGCAGGCCCCTAAGGCCTCTGAACCTCAGTGTATATACCTGTAATATGGGCATAGAGTAACTGTCCTAAAACAATATTGAAAATTATACAAGTTGCTGTGTGGACGCCCTAGTTCAGAGCCTGACCATAAAAAGGCCGTTAAATACACCTAAGTTCCACAGGCATTTGTGGAGGGCTTCCTGTGAGCTGGGTACTGTGACAGACACCAGCTGTCCAGAGGTGGGTGGGTACATAATGGAGAGAACCCAGTATCTGAATAGGGGCTGAGTAACCCTAGGAGACTCATGGACTCCAGGGAAGTATGCAGTGCCCAGCCTGGGAGTGCTCATTCATGGAGATGTTGCTCAAGCTGGATCTTAGAGCATGAAGGCAATCGCAAAGTGTAGAGGCATGATGGGAAGGTGAAGGAGGGGAGAGAGCGGGAGAGGCAGGCACACAAAAGTGATGCTCGGATACTAGGATGGCAGAAGGCTAAGGCCAAGGGTGCAGAGAGGGGTAGCTAGAGGTACCAGAGGAGGTCAGAGCACGGGAGGCCCAGAGTGCCAACAGGTAGTTGTGGGTTCTGGAAGGACGGTGGGGGCGGTGGGGCTGAGTAAAGACATATCTAGAGGAAATGTTAACAGAACTTAGAGATGTGTTGGATGAGGATAAGTTAGTGGTACTTTCTTACCTGTCAATCAAGCCTCAGAGAGGAGGGGCTTGAGATTGAGACTTGGTAGATGGGGGGCAGGTTGGGGGTGGTGAACTGTGCCTGCTCAGCTCCACAGTCACAGGGGCCAGAGTTCAAATCCTGACTCCTCCACTTATAAGCTGGGTCACTTTGGGAAGTGGCTAAACCTCTCTGGACCTAAGTGTCAGTACCTGCAGGTGGTAATAACTGCATGTTCCTCTCAGGGTGCTGGAGGAGCAGGATGGGGTAGTCATAGAGGAAGAGGACTGGAAGTCTGTCTAGGACCACAGGGTGCAACCTCCAGTCAGTGAACACCCAGGCACTCAAAGCCATGCTCTCAAGTACTGGCTACAGACCTGGAAGGAGCTGGCCACCTCTTCCCTCTACAGCTACCATGCTGATCATGGCACCTCTCCTCTGACCCGTGGAACATTAGTCCCTTCTCCCTCTGGTCCCAGAAATGAGGTAGAGCCAGCAGCCAGCCCCCTCCGACATCTCCAAACTTGCTTCTCTCCTCTCCCTTAAAGTCTGAAGGAAAAGTAAAGGCCTTGCATACAGACATTCCAAAACCCAAGAACATCTGACACCTTGGGGGGAAAAAAAATCACTCCACCCCAGGCTGGCCGGACTGGCCTCCCAGCTGTGAGAGGAGACCGGAAGAGGAGATCCTACAAGGCAGGGCCTGGTCACATTCAGGCTCATGTCTTACCTCCACCAGGGAAGGAGCAACTGAGGACCGCCTGACTTGGGGCTGACGGGAAGGGGAGGCTACCAGAGGACACAGAGAAGAGACTGCCTAGTCCACAAGGGCCTGTGGGAGGAACCATGAAAACCCCCATCTCTCCCTTGGCACCAAATGAGCCAGCTGTTCCCATGTGGCCGCCGTGCCGTGAAAGAAAGAAGCTGAGACCCAGGCTAAACACAACACAGGGGATTAAGTCGCTCATTCATGGACCAAACCTGAAGCTACTCCAAAGCTATTATTCCTATTAGGTGTCGTTCTGTGAGCTATCAGACCAGAAATGGAGGCTGGCTGCTAATGGTAGGCCTGTGAGACGATGTTGACGACCCAAGACTGAAGAAGGTGTCACCAGCAGGGACCTACACGTGAGTGTGAGTGTCTCCTTATATTCACACCCCAGGGACTTTCTCACTTCACCCTGTCCATAGCCCCATGTGTAGGTGGCCCAGTCCCTCGGCTCCTGGTGAACTGAGAGGGTAACCTTCGGCTTCCACCTCGGATGTGAGGGAGCAGCGGGCCGAGGCTTTCTGTGAGCTGCTTGCCTGGGTCAGGTGGGCGTCAGCACGCACCTGTTCCACACTGACTGTCAGAACTGATAATGAATCCTGCTTGGCAGGAGGGACCACGACCTGCCTGACCCTTGCTGGCATCCTCCTCACTGCAGGAGCCCCACTCAGACAGCTAATTAGGTTAGCTTCGCTGCGCCACTTGGACTTTCTGGCAGAGTAGCCCCAGGGGCCAGGCGGTCTGCCCTTTAGGCTGGCTACTGATCACCTGTGGAGCTCTACCAGCCCAAAGACCGCTTCTCCAAAGGGACAACTCTGTCCCCTCAGGTCCTGCACTGGAGGAACTGAGTTCACATCACTGCAGGGAAAGAGAGAATCTCTGTTGGCTAGGGCAGTGCCTGTGGACCCTCCATTGCGAAGGAGCCAATCACATATGAGCACCTCAGTCCCACATTCTCTCTGGCGCTCAAGTAACTATCTTTGATTTGTATCAGTACAACCCAGGGCAGGATAAGAAACTGCAGTTCATGGTTCCTGGTGGCAATCCTCATTTTGAGAAAGAAAAAAAGAGTCTTCGTTGATATTTGATTAGAAACCTTCCTAAGTCAAACAGGAGTAGTATGTCAGTGGTCACTGGCTCCTAGCTCCAGGCGGCTTTAAACTTCCCCTTCCCCAAAGCCTACAAAATCCAGCCCCAACGATTAAATTCTAATCACTCCAACAAAAGCACAGATGAACAGAGCTTAAAAGAATCTTAGTGGTCAGGTGTGGTGGTGCAATTCAGAGGCAGCATCTAGGAGGTAGAGACAGGCAGACCTCTATGAGTTCAAGGCACACTGATCTATACAGCAAGTTCCAGAACAGTCAGAACTGCACAGTGATTCCTGGCCTCGGAAAACAAAAACAACAACAACAAAAAAAAAAAAAAAAACCTTACAGAACACTTATTTTAGTCCTAGATTTTTGCAAACAAGCACAATAAGACCCTGATGCAACCTGGGACTTTCCAAAACTACAATGACAGAGAGAGCTGAGACAGGCTGGGAGATCTGGCACCCTGAAGCTTCATGCTAATGAGGACTCATGGTTCTTTACAGAGAAAGTCATATAGATTCTAGGCTTTGCAGTGAGCAAGACCCATGTTGAAATGCCCCTGCTGCCACTTACAAACTGTGTGACAGCAGGTGGCTAGATGAGCCCAGCCTGTGTGCAGATGGGAGTCAGTGGGCCCATGTGGCAGGTGCTATGAAACTGATGTTCTAATGCATGTGGAGCAATCAGTGGTGCCCAACACAGAGCTCCTCACAAGATGCCTACTCTTCCTGCTTCCCCAGGGAAGTCACTGTTTCTGAGATACCCACGGGGATGACTGTTAATCCATCAGGCACCTATAACAAAGTGAAAGAAGCCACCACTCATGAAGTCGTGGCCATGACCAGGTGTTTTACACGCATTCCTATCCCCTCATGGAAACCCTACCGTGTGTGGGCTACTGTCCCCAGGTTAGGTGGTTGAGGATAAGAACACAGGTTCCCAGGGTTGACTGGCTTATCCACAGTTTCACGGCTAGGAAGTGATTGCAGTCTTTCCAGTGGGCCGTGGTCAGGCCACATCATCTCCATCTCTAGCCTGTGGGACTGTGGCTGAGCAGACACCTGGCTGGTTGCACTAAGCCTCCTTATAGAAGATGGAGCTGCCATTCAGCTCAGGTCCAAGTCACGGGAGGCAAGGACATCGGGAAGCCACATGCCACCCTGGACATGGCTGTGTGGTCCCTTTAGCATCCTCCATCTTTCTATAGCCCCACAGTGCTCATCCTGAGCCGGTGGGGTCCTCAGGCCTCAACCCCAGTTCCCATTTTACAGATTGGAAACCTGATCTTAGAGAATGCGTGGGGCCCCGATAGCTCCTTCAGCAAGTGCTCGGGACAGAACAATGTTGGAACTAGAAGGCCTTAAACACCTCCCGGCTCAACATCTTTCACCTTCCAACTGAGAAAACAGAAGTCTTCTGAAAGAGCTCAGATGAGAAATTTGGTTTTTTATGTGTTGAGGGGAAATGAAAGCTAAGAGTAAATCAAAGTTCTGCCGAGTTTCACGTCTCAAGCAGAGACAACAGCACAGAACAAACACCATGGGAAGCCCTCAAGGGCTTGGAGGGCTGTGGGAGGAAAGACCCTGTTCCCCAAAAAGGCAAAAGAGGAAGGGAAAGAAGAGGGCTCAGATCAAGCCAAGTCCTTACTTTTCCTGACGTCTTAATTCCTTTCGCCAGCGACGCGTACACGATCACCCAAGCCAGGAAGAGGCAGAAGGCCAAGGGCCACCTGATCTCCCCCGGATATTCAATCCCTGCGGAAATCTTCAGCACAAAGTACCTAAGAATCAGATAGAGAGGAAAGAAGAGAGGGAGGGAAGGAGGGAGGGAGGGAGGGAGGGAGGAGAGGAGAAGAAGTGAGGATCTGCAAGTTCAACCTCCCATCAGAGCATCAGAGCCAGGAGGTTTAAGCACACCCAGCCCCTCCCACAGCCTCCAGCCAGGAACCTCATCAGACAGACTAGAGGGATCTGCAGGCCTGGCTCTTCTCCACAGTTGCTGATCTCTTTAACTGTGAGCTGGGAGGCCAGGTGTGGCCAGTGGATGGATTCTGTGCAAGACAGCTGGCACCAACATCTGCAGCTGCCACACAGAAGCCCAGCTGAAGGGCTGGGGATGTGCCTGTGGTGGAGTGCTTATCTAGCATGCACAAAGCCCTGGGTTTGACTCCATGTGCCTACAATCTCAGCACTCGGGAGGTTGAGGCAGGAGGATCAGGAATTTAAGGTCATCCTCAGTTATACAGCAAGTTCAAGCCCAGGCTGGGCTACATGAGACCCTCTCTCAAAAAACAAAAATGAAAAATGCACACTAGAAATTCTGAGCTGGAGTCAGAATTTCTAGTTTAAGAGTCTCTGATCCACAGCCCTGAGGACAGGAATTTGGATCCCAGCACCCATGTGACCAGCCCAGCAGCCCACACACACTCAGAACTCCAGCTCTGAAGGACTTAATGCCCCCTTCTAGCCTCTACACAAGTATTATAGGCATACACTCACACAGTCACACACACACACACACACACACACACACACACACACACACACACACACACACTAAATCTTGTTTAAAAAGGAGAAGAAAGTCTGAATAGTCAAGAATGATGTCAGGCTTTTCCGTGCCATTTTACTCTTCATGAGTGAGTGTTCAGGCAGCATTGTACTTCTCAACTTTAGAAACTAGGAATGACAGGAAGGAGTGACTCCAAATGCACCTCTGCATTAGAGCCCGGTTGTATTACGCATGCTCCAAGGGATGTAGAGTGCTTGTCTGGCATACGTGCAGTCCTGGCTTTAATCCCCAGCACTTCATGAACAGGTCATGATGGTGCACACTACAATCCAGCACTTGGGAGATGGAGGCAGGAGGATTTGGGGTGCAAAGTAATCCTCAGTGGATTACATAGAGAGTTCAAGAGTGGGCTACTTGAGACTCCAACAGCACTGGCTCATACCACCTCAAAATAAATCAGGTAGAGCCAAGCACCCTGGCCTCCTGGCAGATAGTGGGCACCCCTTCAGTTTGCCTCGGCCCACCATTCTCCCTTGTCTTGTTATTCCACACATTTACAACCCTGCCCACACCAGACTGCATCTGAACTAGGGTCTCAGCTCAGCTAGATGGCACTGTGCTCCCCTCCATGAAGTGTCTATATTCCCCTCCTCCACAAACATTTCAGCAAGTATACTTCCCAGCTGACGGTCTTCTGGGAATCCTGAACCCCGTTTTCAGCATTCAACAAATCTCACAGAAAAAAGACAAAACTCAGCTAGGCATGGGGCCTCTTCCTGTGATCCCAGCCCCAGAAAGACTGAGGCAAGAGAATTCCTGTGAGTTCAAAGTCAGCTTGGACTGCATGGTGTGTCCCAAGCCAGCCAGAGCTACAGAGGGAGTCCCTTTCTGGAAAGAAGGGAAGGAAGGAAAAAGGAAAGGAAAGAAAGAAGGGATGGGGGAAAGAAGTCAGGGGGAAGGGGATGGAGGGGGGAGGTAGAAGAGACAGATGAAAGGAAAGAAAGGAAGGAGAGGGAGAGGAAGAAAATGGGGAGGGAGGGAGACAGGGAGGGAGGGAAGAGATGGAGGTGGGGAGGGAAGGAGAGAGGGAGGGAGGGAGGGAGGGAGGGAGGGAGGGCTGTTTCCTCGTTTAAACTAAAGCCTAAGCCCGGCCTGTTTTCTTACATTTGTCTTCTCTTCTCTGGAGGAGACAGAATTACCTGGCAGGCAGATGTCTGCTTGGATGGCAAGAGTCAAGGTTAGAACTGTTTTCTCCTCAGCATGATGGATCGTCCCAGTACTGATCCTATCCTCCCCTGCTGTCATTTAGTCACCCCTCATTTCCAGGCCCATCGCGCACAGCAAATGACTTTCCGAAGCCCCACCAGGACACAGTCTCCCTCTCTGATCACTGGCATCAGCAAGGAGGGTGCAGAAGGAGGCCACCCACCCCTCTCACAACTCTGGTCCACAAATTATCATCCAGGCTTACTTGAAGTACTCTTCGCTCCCACTGACGAATGTCTTATTGGCCTGGCTGGTGAAGTTAATCATTGTCAAGTTCGGATAGGCAGTCATGCAGAAAGTTGAGTTCTTGATCTGTATTTTGGGATGGTCACTGATAACACAGGAATCTGTTCAGGAGAGAGCAATGTAGAAACAATGAGGTGTGTATGGAGAATAGACAGGGTCTCTGATGAGGGAGTGTCCTTCTGTATGCTGTGAAAATGTGTTGCTCTGATTGGTTGATAAATAAAGCCGTTTGTCCTATGGCAGGGCAGCTTAGAGGCAGGCAGGAAATCCAAACAAATGGAGAAGAAGGAGAAAGACAGAACAGAGGAAACGCTGCCAGCCGTCACCATGAGAAGCAAGATATAAACGTACCGGTAAGCCACAAGCCACGTAGCAAAGCATAGATTTATAGAAATGGGTTAATTTAAGATATAAAAACTAGATAGGAAGAAGCCTACCATGGCCATAGTTTAAAAATGATATAAGCCTGTGTATGTTTATTTGGGACCAAGCAGCTGTGGGACGAGGGTGGGAATGATTCCACAGGACTAGAGAAAACTTCTGGCTACATCTCTCTGCCTACTTGTGATCAAAAGCCAGAGTGCTACGCATTGGGGAATAATGGGGAAATATCAGCAGAGCACATTTCTCACCCCGCAGCCCCCAGCCCTGCAATACTTTATACTAATAACTAAAACCCACATTTATGTAGCACTGGAATCTTCAAAATGGGAAAATACCGCTTTAATCGGTAGGCAGAGGCAGGAGGATCTCTGTGAGTTCTAGGCTAGCCTGGTCTATATAGCAAGTTCTAGGTTATCCAAGGAATATACAGTAAGACCCTGCCCCCAAAAAACATTATTTTTTAAGTAAAGCAATGGGGTTCTAAAAGGTCAATAACTCTACTGAAGTCCCATAGGTAACGAGAAGAGATCAAAATTCAAACCCAGATCCTTAGGACACCACAGAAGACAAGTGAGTTATAAAATCCACTTCAGCAGAGGCAAACATCGAGACAGCTCTTTTTTTTTCCTTTTCATCCTTTCTTTTTTCTTTTTCTCTTCTTGTCTTGTCTTTTTTGTTGTTGTTGTTGTTTGTTTGTTTGTTTGTTTTGTTTTGTTTTGTTTTCTGAGACAGGGCTTCTTTGTGTAACCCTGGAACTCACTATGTAGACCAGACTGGCCTCAAACTCACAGAGATCCACCTGCCTCTGCCTCCCAAGTGCTGGGATCAAAGGTGTGCACCACCACCAGCAGACATAGTTCCTTCTTAAGTGCTGTTGCTACAGAAGGCTTGCTAGCAAGTGCTCACTCTGGCTAGATCAGGAGCACTAGCCTGTAATCCCAGCAGCATCAAACGGAGGCAGGAGGATCGGGGCGCTGGGATATAGCTCAGTGGGTAGACTGTCAAGCATACAGGAAACCCTGGGTTCAATTCCCAGCACCACATAAAACCAGGTGCTAGGACTCACATCTGCAATCCCAACACTGGGCAGGTAGATGCCAAAGGGTCAGAAGTTCAAGGTCATACTCAGCTTCACAGCAAGTTCTAGTGCATCCTGGACTAGATTCTGTGTCAAACAAGGAACAATTTCTAAGCCCCACTTTGAGACACCACCTGGTACTACAGACAACACATAGTAGGTCCTCGGAGAACCTGGGCTGTGCTCTTCCCACCCTCCCATGAGTTAGCAGACATCGTGACCACACTGTGTGCAAAAGAGCCTTCAACAAGACCTAACAGTGTGCCTCAGTGAATTTGGTCATCATGGGGCATTTTTAACTTTCGCATCGGAGACGCTGGGCACTATTGACATCAAGTGCTCAGAGACCAAGGATGCTACTGACTCTACAATGCACAAGCCAGTTCTCCCCCAACAAAGAAATATCTGGTCCAAACGGTCAGTATCTTGGAGGCTGAGAAGGCCTGGGATAAGGAGAGAAAAATCAATCAGGCAAGCATTAGCATGCCAGGTACCATGCTGGACTCAGCTCAAGAAGTCCTCCTTAGAGGCAGCAAGCATAGATAATTTTATCTTCACCCTCAACCGGAAGAAGATAGGATCTTTCTGACCATCTCACAATATCTTTCTAACAGCATCCATAAATAGATGCACAACTGGGGATTAGCACAGTGGTAAAGCATCAACCTCAAATGCCTAAGGCCCAGGCTCCATTCCCAGGGCCACAAAAAGGAATGCATGAACACAAATGGACGGATGTTTTCAATAAAGAGCCCGCAGGTACTCCCAAAACACAGTTATATCAAGTAGCAAATACCAGCACAACGGGCACCGTGAGGACCATGTCTCAGGGCTGTCTGGAATACTCTACGTCCATGGCCCTAAGCCTTATATCACCCCACCTAAGTCCTGGAATCAACTGGCACCCAGAACTGCAGCCACTTGCCAAGGTTGCAAGTCCATCCAGGAAGGACAGAGCACTCACTCTTTGGAACCCTCACTTTGATCTACCCAGCTCTGAAAACAGCAGGCCTCGTGGTACCTGGCGAGTCCAGGATGGAGGGTAAAGGAGGAAGGCATACATGAGGAGTGACGGGAGCAGGGGACAGAGTGTCCCCACCAATCCACATTGACCTTTTCCAGATCTTCTAGCTCAGATGTAGAAAGTGAATCTGCATGTAATCTTCCCTTTGCACACTGGGAAGAACGAGGAGTTCAAATTGTTCTAGAAACAATGACAAGTGCTTGGGGTGAAGATGCAGTGTGTCGCCAAGACACACCCTCTGTGAATGCAACCACAAAGACAACAGTAGGGGTCTGGGCTTCCACCGGGCTGAGAGCACCCCCAGCTGCTGAGGATGGCTGGATCTTGACCTTGATCATGGAGCTGTTGCAGGGACCAAGTCCAGTGAGGAGTTTAAAAACCATGCTCAATAAATCGTAGCAGTAACTCAATCTTCATCACTGTACAGAGTGGACAGTGCTCAGTATCGCTTCCCAGGAACACACTGGCCAGCCTCAGTTACCTGCTGCTCCTCCCCAGCCCCAGGCCCGTCAGACCACTAAGTGATGATTCAGACAACATGGGCTGGTGATGATGCTCAGTTGGCAGAGCGCTTGCCTAGCAGCACACAACCCTGGGTTCGATCTCCAGCAGCACATTAAACCCCCTGTGGTGGTACACACCTATAACCCCAGCATTTGGCAGGCTGAGACAGGAGGACTGCCAGGAGTGTGAGGTCAACCTTATCTCAACCAAGCAAGGTTCAAAGGACAATCATCAAACCCCTTCCCTGCTGATTGCTTCCTCCGACTGGGATTCCTCTGTGAAATACCATGACTTTCCACATCGGATCATTCTTTGCTAGGAGGAAGCTGCCCTGTGTGGTGATCACCACTGGCTGCTCCTCACCAAATGGCAGCAGCCTCTTTCCTCCCCAGATGCAAAACCGAACCTAGCTCTGCCAAATCTCGGGCTGAGAATTTGTTTTTCGATGTCCCCCTAACACTCGCCTTTTCAATATTATGTTCTTTAATAATAATTGATTGAAAAAAGGAAAAACAGTCCCAGGAGGATTCCAGACTGACAACTATCAAACTTTGCTGGGAATATTTCTTCTTCCCAAAAGCAACCTGAACCAGGATATTAAAGTTCCATCCAGATCCTTTCGGCAGAAAAAGGGAAAAAAAAAAAAGGCAACCTTTCTGCTAGGAACTCAGGGCTCCCTGCCTGCTTCCAAAATTGCCCTTGTAAAGACTCCCTAGGGTGCATCGTGCATCGTGGCTGTCCTGAGGCTCAGCACCAGCACAGCCTCCCAAGGTCAGGTTCCTGGTTCCGCAGTAACGCTGCAGAGGCACCAGCAACCTTAAGCCGCCTGCAACGTCTCTTCTCACCACTGGGTGGCAGGAGCGTGCTTCCCGGCGCTCCGCCCTTTTCGGTCTGGGGGAGAAGTGGTGACAGGCCATCTCATCAGAGCTCCGCGGCCCAGCAACCCCGAACAAAGAACAGCGATAATGATCAGCTAAATTGGAAAGCTGTTGGAATGGGATTCTCTTTACTCGGGCAATTATTAATAAATGAAAGCACAGGAAAGACCGGGGAGAAAAGGGATCATTTAATTAAAGTTCTAATGAAAATTAAGCCATTCCAGAAATAGAAATGGTGTTTATACTGTTCCCATTTGAACTGACCCAGCTACGGCCCTGTTTGCACAAAACAGTGGCTGGACTCATTCTGCAGGGCAGGGACAAATTGTCCTCCGTTGCAGATCCTCGAAGGGCTGCCAGCCTAAGCAGTAGCCTGTTCTGCAAGCTGCACCTTAGACAATACTAGCTTAGTGATGCTGAGACAGGAGGATTGCCCCCTGTGCTACAGAGCAAGGCCCTGTCTTAATAAAAACAGTGAGGAAGGAAAAAGTAGATAAAAAGGATTGAGCATAATCTACCTCTCTCTGGAGTAGACCCAGGGCTGGTCTCAGTCTGGAGTGGGCACAGTACTTAGCTTCTGCATGGTGACATAAGCAATCAGACAGCATGATCCCAACAGCACCAGGCATGGGACAAACGTCCACCCACTGTGTGTGAAGGTGACAATGTCATGCCATTCATTCACTCATCACCTCTCCTAGAATGCCAGGCTGGGGGAAAGGAGGTGGTTATGGGGCTGAGAGGGTGTGCTGGGGGGTCATTTGGGGAACACTGATGGGGGGCAGCAGGCCCATCTCCCAAAGAAGCCTAGCTTGTGTGTCCATCTTGGGGACAACATGGGAAAAGCAATTGTCCAAACTCCCAACAGTTGGGCCAAGCAGAAGGGCTCTAAAGCCACCTAAGTCTGTGTAGATCAGGCTACTGTCACCTTTTCTAAGTCACCTCAAAAGCACACCAGGAGTGACAGCCCTACCCAGGAGGACCTGGCCCCGGGTGTAGACCCCCACACACACACCATGTGCAGTTGACACAGAGGCTGAGAGGCTGCAGATGCAAAGATGGGGGAGACTGATACTTTGTTTTGTTTAACTAACAAAAAAAAAAGGTAAAACCCTGGCTAAGGATGTGGTGGGTATTGACTCATCCATCCACAGTCTCCTGGGAATGAGGGTGAAATATGCCCATTGCCTGTGCTCTGAGCTCCAGCTGTGTGTGTAGCTGGTGAGTAGAAGC